TAATTTATATATTCTGATTATTTCATCTTGCTAATGCTTTAAATGAATGTCTTTATTTACACAGGATTTGGCAAATTAGGAGAACAAAACACTATTGATGAGATGATACAATGTTACATTTTTCTTGATTCTATATTTGCCAAAGAATTAAGATACATGTAATTATTATGCAAAAGTTTACATTTTAATGATCTGTTATTTACAATTGTAGTGGTATTACACTTGTAATACTTTTGAAGCTTAAACTCTATTGGAGATGAAAAATACTGGAACTTAATTACAGATTTAAAGAACTTGAACCTTGAAAGGTGTAGAAAAGTTACAGAAGGTATCCTAATTAATTATCTAGTGAAAAACCAAAAGAATTTGGTATCTTATAAACATAAATTTGAATGGGATTTATGCAAAAGATGTAATGGTCATCACTCATTTTGTCATACCCTTGTTTATTCAAAATTTATCCACCACCTACTATGTACATGACACTGCCCATAGAGAACTTATGGTCTAATGGGGAAAAGGGACACTCTGTCATGAGTACTCCAAAAGAGTATGTACAAGGCATACACCATAAGTTTCACAATATGGTTATTAGGGACGGACAAACAAGCAAACAAACAAAATCTCTGTGTTAGACGGAGTCAATTTTTTTCTTATCCTCATAGTGCAAGCAAGACTATATACATACAAATATGTAATTACAAAATATTATTGGGGAGATATACATATTTTTCAGTTGATTTCAAACATAGCTGAAATGGAGAAAGGAGCACTGTTAGTATAGCAGAGCTTATCTATCTATATTTATAATATCTAATACACCCTGATCCATTTGCTGAAAACACTCTGAAATATTTCCGTTTAGGAAGGCTTTGGAGTCCTGCATTATTTATAGGAACATGCTTAGTGAATTCATGCTGATTCTGTTTGCATCTATCAAGATTAACATATTAATATACAGACCTTCAACATGGCAGGGAGTGTGGCTCAATAGAAAGTGCATAGATTTATAGTCAGGCAGAGTGTGTTATAATCTTGCCTCTTCCAGTTAGGCATGCCGCTTAACGTCTGTGAGCAAGCCTGTTTTCTGGCCTCTAAAATGAAGATATCTTCTTACAGAGCATTAGTTAGAATACTGTGTATACTTCATGTTGCTTAGCATATAAGGCACTCTAGAAAGGTTAAATCCTTGTCCCATTTACTTTACCTCATCCTCACCCTTTGAATGAAAATCATAGAATTTCTTAGAATAGGAAAAATAACAGCAGTCACAACCTCAGTTAACAGGTAATCTTTTTCTGAAACTTAGATGTCAGCTGAGGTCATGATGTTCTTTGGGTTGTAAATGAAATCAGCCCCAATGCTCTAACTCCTATCTTTTGGGAATCCCAGAGGTTGCACCAAGATTGCCAAGCAGGCTTCACCTATGCCCTCAGGAAATATCTAGTGTCTCAAACTTTAGATACCCTGTCAGCTCTGTCTTCTGCCACCTATCTCTTCTTGAATCCCCTGGGCTTCATGTGCTGTAACGTTTCTTCCTTTCCACCAGTATAAGCTGGATGAATGGCACAGCCCTTTCCTCTTGATTTCCCCAAACACCACACACAGGTCTGTGCATCTAGCGGACTAAATGTAGATCTGAATGCTCCAGCAGAGACAGTTCACACAGGAGCTGTGCTAACAACTTAAACCTGAATTTTAGATGCCATGCTTTTTTACTAGCTACTTTTCTTAACATATTACAGCCTCACAGCATACTGTTTGACCCCACTCTGTCCCTCAAGTCCACTTCCAGCTCAGCCTTGGGGTCTCCTCTTCTGGGTTTTCTCCATCCATTCCTTAGTTCTTCCCTTTATTATGCAGAGCCATTAACTCATCCTCAACTTTGAGCCACTACTTTTCTAAGGTGCAGTAGGCTTGCAAGCTGCTGTTTGCCCCTCGTTCTTCAAAGTGACTTCCATAGACCACCCTCCATGGAATCATGGCTTTAACGGTTCCTAAGAACTGATGAAAGCCTTACTATTTCAGCCTTTTTTGTTGTTGTTAATCCCTCCCTCACCCAACTTTTTAAGAGGAAGAGAGCATAGAAAAGGTTTACTTTCTCTCAAATATAAACGACATCATGCTCTTTAAGAGGCAAGAATAGCTTGATCATTTTTGGTTTTAATAACTTAAAACTGTTTTCCTCCTAATACAAATCCTTAAACCCAACTTTTCTTATATTAGGGTTTTTTTTTTTTTTGGTTTTGTTTGTTTGTTTGTTTTGTTTTGTTTTGTTTTTAGTTTGAAAAATGACTGAATTCTTATTAGGCTTTGTTTCCTCATCTGCAAAATTGAAAGATTGGATTAGGTTATTTCCAAGGCTCCTTATTTAAAATTATATAATTCATTGAGTGTAATTACTTACATATTTTTTTCTCTAGCAGTTATATGCATGGCTAACACTTATCAGTTAATAAAAAAACTGTCATGACTTTTCTTATTTTGAAGTGAACTGATGAATCAAAATTCTAAATCAATTTTTTTTTCATTCTCCCTTCCCCAACTTTTCAGTCTCTAAAAAAATGTAGGTTTCGGGATCACAGACTCTTAGTTTGAGACCTATAGGCATCACTCATAGAGGTTCATTTGAGAAACATTATCTGATATTTGTGCCCTACCTTTTTTTTAAGGCTAATGGTAATGACAGTGACCTCATGGAGTAGCTAAGAGAAACAAAGTGACTATATATGTGAAAAGAATTTATACATTGTAAGGTACCATCAAACGTGAATTATTTTGGGAGAGGGAAGAAGGAAAAACTGAGAAAGAAGAGGTTCTGTGACATGATTTGTATATTCTAGCAATGGAAGAAACCTGATTCCATTTGCTACAAAACAGATCATTGGTGCAGTTCTTTCTTCCTGTCTTAAACATCGGCAGTGTACCAACTGGCAGGCGTGGGTTAGTTTAATTAATATACCACACCGCACAAAACTACCTACTTAAATAAATGCATTGTTTTTAATTGATGTGAAGGTATCTGGAGAAAAATCACAGTTATACTAATTTCTTTTCACTTTTTGAAAGTTAACCCTATCAACATGATCCAGAGTTACCACAAGGTGCTATATTTCATGCATATTCTCGTTAGATTCCACAACTGTTGAATTTCATGAAATTTTAAACTGAAAGAAACTGAGTTTCAAAGACAGTTGCTGGAGAAAGCAATTAAACTTTAGTCTTGCCTCCATGCAAGACAATGTTTCTCAACCCCTAAGTGTTTCCTGTTGGAAGCTCAAAGTGATGATGGTGAATTTCCTTTTCTATCTGTAAGTCTCTAAATGACTTTGTCCCATGCTTGAGGAGCCATTCACTGTTGGACTCTTCCAAAAGCCTGGCCTAATGGAGCTCTCTCCCAATTGCTTCAAGTTATCACTATTCTTGTGACCAACCCTGTTGCCTCCTCTCTACTCTCTGCCGAAACCACATGCTCCTTTTCTTGACTAATCTTCCTCCGGGACTCAGGCATTTACTTTGTCATACATAGTCACGCTGTTTAATTAATCTTCTTTCTTTTCTAATCTGAACGTCTTAACTTTCTCTTTGGTGGTTTTTCTTTCACTCATGTGTTCTAGTCTTTTTAGTTAAACAAAATTTAAAAACACAAAATTAGAGACTGCTATATATTTTTCCTTGGCCTTTCTTCATCTCGCAGTGAGAGGTGATAGTTCCTTCAACGTCTCTCTTCCCTTCTTCACTATTCCTAGGCTGTATTCTGCCCTGGGTCAATTAGCATCGCTTCCAAAGAAGCAAACCGTAAGACAAAATTAGAGGTACAAAAGATTGGGTGAGAATGTCTGTGATGGACAAAGGGTGAAAGAAGCAAGAGTAGGTAGGATTAGCCTTCAGACTGTGACACAAACCTGTCACTTCCAAAAGAGAAAAGAAAGGAAGGAAGGAAGATCTGTTAAAAAAGCCTGGGACTGCCGTGCCACTTGAGAAAATCTCAGCCATACCAAAGGGGCACCCCAGAGTAGAGAATGTACACTAGAGGAGACCTGAGTTAGGCAGGACTGGCCCAGGTCCATACCTTCATAGTGCTAATAGCTGCTTTTCTCCAAGGGAGATCAGACACCACACTTCTAGTGCCTGTTAACAGGTACCAGTAACTTTGGTAAAGTCACTTTCTCAAAGCTTAAAAATGACTGTCAGCCCTTTTCCCCCTATATTTGTAACTTTTGATGAGCTACTTCTTATAGACTGGTAAAAATTGTGATTTGTAGAAGTCTGCCTCACCACAAACTCATAAATAGTCAGTAAAGGTATTGCAACCAGGTGTCCATAGTACCTTGGACTATGTGGCTACGGTCATTTGTAAGTATATGCTATTTTCACCTGCAGGTTTACAAAAGCTCTTCAGTGTTAATAACTCCAGAAATTGCCATTCAGTATTACTTTTTAAACATGCAGAAGATATTTTACAATTTGGAAACCTTAATACCGATATTTTGCTTAGTGCTAATATTGTTTTTGACTCCTTAATAAGTGACAAACATTTTTCTGGGTGTTTGATACATACAAATTCTTTTTCATCTGTATCATCACCTTTTGAGATAGATTCTAATAATTCCAACATTTAACACAGGGTGACAATGAGGTACAGAGAGGTTAGCTAAATCCTCCAAGGCCACATGGTTAGAAGGTGGCGAAACCAGGATTCAATCCCAGGCTATTAGAGCCCATATAACAACTCTATTTCCTATACCAAGAATATTCAGAAATATAAATATCTATAAATATGATATTATAGATATAGATTATATTAGATATAGATATAGATTACATCTATATTATAGATATAGATATCTATAAATATCTATAAATATTTATAAAATATCTATAAATATGTATGTAATATCTATAAAACTGTTAATTGCAAAATGTTGGCCCAGTATCTACTTTAAAGCATATGTATCATGCAGCAATTGTGGTTTTTTTTTTTTTTTTCTGCCTTTCAGGTCCCTGCATTCCTAACCCATGCCATAATGGAGGAACCTGCGAAATCAGTGAGGCTTACCGAGGGGACACGTTCATAGGTTATGTTTGTAAATGTCCTCGAGGATTTAATGGGATTCACTGTCAGCACAGTAAGTCATCCCCAGTCATTGTGCTTTTATTATTATTGATTGCAAAGTATGCAAGTCATTATCATTCTTATTGGTAGTAGACTGATAGAAGCTTCCAGCAACAGAGAACCCTGAGAGTTGAATAATGCCACCTCTCTCCCACTGAATATACCACATCTCCTGCTGAGGACTCCTGGACTATGTCTCAATCCTCCCAGTGGTATATGGGGCTAATAGCTTCATGGTGTCAGCCTTTTTCAATATTGTCCAGCCATACTTGCAAAGTGTTGCCTTTTATTTTAAACTATCTGCCTCTTTCTTTCACACTTGTCCTGAAGCTATATTCTTCGTGCTTCCCAGATATTATTCTGTTGATTAGCTTCAGAGATACACTCATAAAAGAAAACTGCCCACCCAGCCCTCTCAGCAATACAGTTTCCTCCTGCTTCCAATGTTGGCATTTTTAGCACAAAAATCTTTGAAAGTTCAATAAATGTATTATCTGCACTTCTCTCTTTTATCCCCGTTCTTATTTATCCTGGGAAGTTAAACAAAATAGGACCGCTCGTGATGCTGTCTTCTTAGAAGTGTGGCTCAACAGAAATTCCAAGTGAGTGGTTGGGGGTCGTTATCTGTGGTAGGGGTGCAACAAGCAGGGAAGCCACAGTGGATGCGATGCTGTCAGGGCAGGATCTTATGGAGGATGTCCCATGTGAGCTGAGTCTTGGGAGAGGGAGAGGATTTTGATCAGAGGGAGGGGAATGCAGGAATGGTACCTGGTAGTAAGAGTGGGGAATGAATACATGAGCCCTAATTGTTGGAGTGATGGTTAAGACCATGGTGTTAGGAATGAGTAAGGCAAAGCTGGATATGTCATCTAGAGCCAGATTTCCAACCACCAGCAAACAACATAGAATGCCTCCTGGCTCTGCGACTGTGGGGGAAGAATGTACTTTTCTGGAAACTTGCCGTGACTGGGAATTTATAGTATAAGTTCTGTGCAAGACGGTTATAGTACGGTAGCATTTATGCTCTTTACAACAGGCACCTAAACTGCCTATAATTATCTCTCAGAGCTCAGATCACCCACAAGGAACTGAGAGGCTACTGATTTTTCTCAGACTGGGTCCAGAATTGCCAAGGCTGATTCTCCCTTATTATAGCATTATTGCTCAGCATTCACACATGAACACCTCAGAACATCCCCAGATAGACAGACATGGGAGCCCAAAGTCTTGGCTGCTTTGACATTCACTTAATCCCGTAAAGAGAACATTACTAATCTTCCTCGTTTACAAATATTTGTGATATGGTGTCAGCAGGGCCTAGAGGAAGACTGTCTGGTCACCCACTTGAGCACCTCAGTTGAGCCACTTACATCCAAACACACACTTACAGAGGAATCTTCCCTTGAAATGAGAACAGAATTTTCATAATGGGATGCTGTCAAATGTTCAGAGGCAGGAATTTCTCCCAAGGTCAGATCACCCTTCCTTTTTCTTTTCTATGCTGCAGGGCTCGAGGAGGGAGAGGGTAAGAGTATACAAGGATTCTTACTGTATTTAGAAGGCATATGTGGACCCTAATGTCACTTATATATTTCGTATTGATGAAGTCTCTAACCCTAACCTACTGCTGATATCAGTGTGAAGTTGTGGCTGGTCCTTAAACCAGAGGTCGAGAGAGCCTAAATATAAGCTCCAACTAATAATATCTATAAGATGGCATAAAATTTTTTTCACATCTCTTGGTCATCTTGTTTTCTTCATATTGTGAAGAAAAATTTAGTTTCAATTACCTTTAATAGCTTGGAAGTTCCATTGAAGACATCTGGTCATCATTTGATAGTCCCAATATAAGGGAGGTTGCCCTGGACAGGGTCCTGGAGAAGTGTCCACCTGCTTCTGACTCCCATACATGGTTAGCTATGAATTCTTTCAAGAGAACCATCAGGTATTGAGGAATAAAGCAAACTATTCTCGCTTCCATTCTCCATGGTGGAACATCGAAGCCTTTTCTCTCCTACCTTACACTGTATTCAAATAAGCTCATTAATCCACATAATTTCTTTGAATTCCAGGGCTTATTTTGAAGCACAAAGAAATTCTCTCCCTTATTGTACCTGGTTCCAAACAAGACTTTAAATCCATGTTAGGAATTGCACTGGCAAGCCTGTGGCTGAGATTTTCAATTCAGAATTGGGATTTTGTGGTCTCAACAAACTAGTCACTATTCTTTGGAGTGCATCATTGTCAGAAACAACAGAGAATGGAGGGAAAAGGACTAGATTTGGATTCAGAGACCTGGATTTAGATCTGACCTTTGCAGTTATTGGTTAAGTGACCTTGAGCCAGTTGTCTGATCTTTCTGCAATTGAAGATATATAAATCAAGTAATTGAACTAGAAACAGATGGTCTTCGGTTCATACAAGCTAGGAGAGTATTTTGACTAAACGGGTAGGTTGTTTACTGTACAAAGGTTATCAAGCCATTCTCTTCATAGATGAAATTGAAAAGGATTATATATTGGAAAAGTAGATTTAGAAGTTTTGGGTTCCCTGGGAGCTTTTTCAGATAGGGGAAACAAACAAACAAACAAACAAACAAACAAACAAAAAGCAGCAATTTAATCCCTTGTAAGAACTGCTAGGTATCTGGGTTTATTCTTCACAATGGCAATAGTTTCATGGCCCAGATGTGCTCTAGAGCCTTGCTGCTCAAAGTGTGGGGTCATGCATCAGAATTGCCTGGAAGCTTGTTAGAAATGTAGATTGTCAGGACCGCTTAACTAAGTCAGAAATCTGTTTTTTCAAAATGATCCCCAGTAGACACCCACATACACACTGAAGTTTGAGAAATTCTGCACAAGACTTTCAGTAGCTAAAAGTAATTGGCATTCAGTCATATAACACCACATTAGAGGCAAAAATACTTATTATTGTTTTTGCAAATCAAGACGATATTGAAAGTCAATGAAAATAAGAAATGTACCAATAAAATATGAACATTTCATTTGGAAAAAGGATTGAAAATTTCTTCAGATAGCCATAAAAGGGGAGCTTATTAATTTAGTTCAATATGGCAGAATGTGAATTAAATATCTTTTGGAATAGAGCTAAAGAAATTTAAGTTTCATGATACAGGAATGATAAATACATAATTAGTAGACTTACTTTAAGAACTATTTTGTCAATATGTTACAAATTAGAAAAAAGTGTTTCCAGTGACAGAATTAATATTATCTACATAGGATTTTTTAATAAATGGATTTTAGATTTTGGAGCAGTTTCAGGTTTACAGAGAAATTGAGCAGTGAGTTCCCATTTATCCCTCTACCTGCCTGTATTGTTGCCCCTATTACTAGCTTTCGCATTAATAGGGCATATTTCTCATAACTGATAAAACAGTATTGATTATTTTGAACTGACATCCATAGTTTATATTAGGGTTCACTTTTTGTATTACACAGCCCTATGGATTTTGAAAAATACATAATATCATGTCTACCATAGCCTCGTAAATGGTTTCACTGACCTAAAAATCTTCTGTGCTCTCTCTAGTCATCCCTTCTTCTTTTGCCAAATCCCTGGCAAGCACTGATTTTTTTTTTTTTTTTTTTTTTTTTTTTTTATCTTTGCCTCTATCGTTTTGCCTTTTCCAGAATGTCATGTAGTTGGAATCCTGCAGTGTATGTGTCTGGAATAATATAGTGTGCAGCCTTTTCTGGCTAACTTCTTTCACTTAGCAATATATATGTAAGGTTCCTCCATGTCTTAATGGCTTTAAAAAAAAAACCACTGAATAGTATTGCATTTTATAGATGTATCACTGTTTGTTTATTCATTCACCTATTAAAGAACACCTTAGTTGTTTTCAACTTTCTGGCAGTTATAATAGTGCTGCTATAAACATTCATGTGCAGCTTTTTCTTTTGTCTTGTGTGACAGTCTTAAACTTAACCAGAGTAAATACCTAAGAGTTCAATTGCTGTGTCATTTTGTAAGAGTGCATGTAAGAGTAAGAAACCTCAGGGCCACCTGGGTGGCTCAGTCAGTTAAGCATGACTCTTGATTTCAACTTAGGCCATGATCTCATGGTTCATTAGATCAAGCCCTGTTTCAGGCTTTGTGCTGAGTGTGTGGAGCCTGTTCAAGATTCCCCGCCCCCCCCCCGCTCTCTGCCACTCTCCTGCATGCATGCATGCTCCCACTCTCCACTCTCTCTGCCCCTCCCCTGTTTGCATGCACACCCTCTCCCTCTCTGTGTCAAAATAAATAAATAAACACTTAAAAAAAAAGTAAGAAACTTCCAACCGCCTTCCACAGTGGTTGTACCATTTTGCACACTTACCTGTGATGGATGAGAGTTCCAATGTTCTGTAACCCCACCAGCATTTGTTACTTTAGTGTTTTGGATTTTAGCCATTATGTGTGAATTTTTTTATCATGACAGTAGCAGAGGTTATAATTTTATAAGACTAATAATAATTAGTATTTTTATATAGAATTACCAAATTATACATGCTCTTAAAATTCCATAGAATAATGTGAAATACACACATGTACCTATATGTATCATATCTATATACATGCTTGTGTATGTGTGTATACATTATAAAATGTAAATTATAGGGTGAATTGAGCACCAAAATTGTCTAAAGGTTAGACTTTTGAAAGGAATTTTTAAGTACACAGTTTTCTTCTGGGAGCCTCATTTTGGGCTGACTAGAAGTAATCATATTTTCTTTGTTGCCTAGTAACAAATCTAATGCCTTAGGGAGGGACGATTTCTTCATTCCCAGAACTCCTTACCACTGAATGCATTCTGTGCATTGTTCCCTATGTGTGCACAGCTCCCAGCCTTCAATTCCTGTTAAGCATAAATTTTTGTGGTTCTTATTCTTTGAGGAAGGAGAGCTGATCTAGGTGTTCACCAAACCCTGAAAGAAAAAGGACTGGTTTAAAGAAATAGCCCATATTATCAGATTAGCTGAAGACAATATGCTCTCTAGTCCCTTTTTC